GTAATTTGCAACTTTCTATTTTACTAATATTACGAACTAATAAATTATTATTCAAGCTGACTGTACTTTAGAGACACAAAAAAAAAAAAACATTGTTACATTCTGTAATTTATAACCTTCTAGTTTGCTAATATTACGAATTAATAAATTATTATTCAAGCTGACTGTACTTCAGAGACACAAGAACTATTCTATTTTCTATTACCAGCTTTCTGAGCTTTTGAAACAAACTGCATATCGCAGCTCGGTCTAAACGACTCGTTGCGCTGCTCGAATTTAACAGAAACATTGTTGCGACAGGTACGGAGGGCCAGATTCGTATCAAGTCACGGAGAAGTTCAACGTCGATTGGGGCACGTACCTTGTAACGAACAAGAGTATCATCTACGCGACGATCGACGGCCGTGGTTCCGGTCTAATGGACAATGGCATGCTGTTTGCTGGATATCGAAACTTGGGAACAGTGGAGATCGCGGATCAGATCAATGTAACCAGGTGAGCATTGTTCGTTCCGCGGAAGAAGCCTCGTTAGTTTGCATGCGATATCGCCCGAGATAAGATCCAACCCGCCTGCCGCTATTTCGTTCTTTCGTAAAACGTCTTAAGCGCAGATAGAATTCTAATTTCGGCGTGCTCGAGACACGACGGCTGGCCTGTAATTCCCCAGACAGGAAGTTTCGATCGTGTAACGCGATTTTAATACCGTTGTTCCACTTGACTCGATTTCAGCTACTTCTAACTCGATTTTCTACGAATTTTCGACTCGTCGTCAAAGTGTCAGGAACAAATTAAGGCCGCTCAGCCTTAGATTTTTTTTTGGACCTTTTCGTTGCGTCGTCTCGATTTTCTAAATCTCGAGTTGTCAGGCTTGATTGTTCGAGATGTCAGGGATAGTTCGGTTTTTTTTTTCGAGATTTTCAGACCTTCGCGTTTTTTGGATTTTTCAGGTTTTTTCGACGTAACAGCTCCATTTTCTACGTCGAGTTCGACGTCGCCTGGGTCTGTTGACATGAAAATTGCATTTGCAGGAGAGCAAAGAGTTGAAATTAGAAGAACGCGAATGTAAAAATTTTCGTGCTCGTTACATCACCCTGTAAAAGCATTAAGAATAATTTAGTTTCGAGTTTTGGATCTTCTGCATGCGTATTAGTAGTAACTTGTAAGTAGACTGCAAACGTTTATATGCAAATTCGTATTTTTATGAGTGTAATTTAGAAAAAAAAATCTAAGTGGAAAATCATTTTATCTGTACTGTAACGTGTACCATATTCTAAGCAGACATTTTCGCGTATTATGCTCATTTCATGCATTTGGCGCCATTTAATTTTCCATAAATGCATCTCACAAGTATTATGTTACATATATATAAGTATATTATGCTACAACACAATGCACTTATGCGATACACGCACGCGTCGGTAATTAAAAACGAATTAACGATGAATTGCTATTAATCAAAACTGCACGTTGTCGTCAAAGAACAACGCAATTTTCCATTTACCTAAAAAAAACTCGTGTAATATATATGATTTATTAAATATAATATATTTTACATAATTTACTAAAAATCACCAAGAATCAAGCTATTAGCGAAACATTCTCAAACAATTTCCCATTTGTTTCAACCCTCGCTGTATGTAAAAAGCGAGGATTAATCAGGTTCGTGTTTGCATCTTAAATGGCCGGGACGGTGTTTTAAATTTCAAATATATCGGATGTAATTCGCTCTTTTTTCTTTATCAGGAAATATTGTTAGTGTCGGCGATTTGGATAGGGATTGATGCTGACGCTGATGAATCGCGGAGAACGCAATTGGATTTTAATGTCGTAGTTCCATCGTGTGTGCTGTTCGCACGGGTTTTGATCGCGACATACCTAATTTCGTTGTTCTACGATCCATTTTCTCTCTCTCTCTCTCATTTTCTCTATTTACATGTAAAATGTCCCCAGATGCAATTTATCGAATACCGCTTCCGGCTAGTTTAAATGCAAAAAGACGTATTGTCCTTGTTATTCCATGCATTTTTAATGCTTGTACGTGCAACAAGAGAGAGAGATCGATTTATATTTATGCAAGCCATTGATTTTTTGCGATTTCAAGCGAACATGCGGACCGACGTCCCGACCGACACCGAGATAAGTCAATTTATGACGCGTCCTCCCACTCCCTGTAACTACGTAGTTTCGTTTCTTTTTTTCTTTCAGTTTTCTCTCCTTCTCTCTCTCTCTCTCTCTCTCTCTCTCTCTCTCTGTGTTTCTATCTTTGTCGATCGGTTGATTTATTGGACTGATAGACCGCGATTACAGATTTAACAGGTGCTGTGCAAATTTAACAGTGTTTTATCAAACGTTAGGCGATCGTTAATCTACGTAGCCGATTGCGTAAGTCAAAGTTCTCGAGGTAGCATGAATTATTCTACTGCGCCAATGCTGGCAATCCTATTAAAAAGTTATCCGCGTGATCCTATCGTTCGACGCTTGAAAAAGAAACGAAGGGCGGAGGGAGCGAAAAATTTCTGCTATTTCATTGTAGAGAGTTTCGCTCGTCTCAAAAAGTATTCCGTTTTTTACAAATAGGTAGAGAGACACTCGTGATATTATTTTGCTCGTTTTCTTTGTTTAATTGTTACTTTCAAAGAAGCACTTTCTCAACCCTGGCTCCCGACGAAGATGCTCAACTAAATTTAAAGTCGTTGTGTTTTTTTTTTTTTTTTATTTCTTGATTGGCACGACGATGGAATTTGTCCGCGAAGAATTGCGAAATCAGTAATTTACTTAACTCATATCGAGAACTAACAGTTCTTCCAGATCAACAGATCAATTTATGTTACTAAATTTATGAACTGGCATGATGATTCGTCCAATATCTTTTCGTTGAGTCTTCCGTCTAAATCCTGGGATCCATAATATTTAGAAATTCTAAGAATCCTAATATCATCCATAACCGTGCGTTTTTGTATCCTCAAATTTTCCGCAAATTCACACACACACCGATTTCCAATTCATTTAAAATATTCCCGAAATTCTGAAACTTCAATCAACACCTGGAAGTTAGACGAAAATAGAGCGAAATGGTTAAAATTACAGGTGAATTCTTGGAGATCTGAAACCAGGCCCAATCCGCAATATTCAATGCAAACTCCAAATTCGGGAGTAATTTCAGTTACTTGCGACTGGATCCTCGTATCAACGCTCATCGCCTCGGCGTTGCATTCAATTACGGAACGAAATAGCCAAAATTGTACGTGAATTCGTGAGACGGCGATCGTCAGTCAAGAGAGAGAGAGAGAGAGAGAGAGAGAGAGAGAGAGAGAGAGAGAGAGAGAGAGAAGGTTACACGAGGGGAGGGGGTTGAAAAAGCTGCCAAGCTTCGCCGCGGCGCGGAACCGAAACCGCGACGCGTGCAAAATTAACGACGCAGAAACGACAGCCTCGTTTTTCGTCTCGTCCCCGTTGCCCACATTTCCCAGCCTCGAAATTTAAATGTTCCTATTTTTCTTTTGCGTCCTACAATTGCGAGCCACAGAGAGAGACAAAAAAAAATAGGTCAGAAACTCGAGAGGGGAGAGGGAGAGAGAAGACAATTTTTTCGAAGAGCGAACAGACAAGGGGGGAACGAGCGGTCGTGGTTTTTTTTTAAAATTCCAGGTGGAACTGGCTGGCAATCTAATTACAGGGAGAAACGGTCGTTGGCCGGTCGTGACGGTCCAGACGCTGACTTATCGCAACCCGACGCGATAATCCACTAATCCACCTAACAAACTAACGCTGCGTCGTAACCTCGCTACCGCAGCTACCAGTCATCCCTATGTAACTTCTTTCTCACGCGATCGATTGAAAATTAGGTTCCAGTCACTAGGTTTTAATCTATGGATTTGTGGATTGTTATTATTGTGGGTAGAATGGCAAACGGTTCGAGGAAATTTATATTTTAGTTCATAGTTCAATAGTCAGTTAAATAGTATTGATGGAAAGTATGAGAGCGAGTAGGTTGAAGTGAGTAATTTTTTCTTGGGGTATTTCGAGGGTGAAAAAAATCTGAAGAATGTACCTAATGTTCGAAGACATTTGAAGTGTCTAGAGATTCTTTGTAATGCTTAAAAACACAGAAGTTACAACGTCCAGTTTTAATGAAACAAATTTTATATATTTCATTTTCTGAGTTGGAGATCCAGGAATAAATAGAATTATCTACATATACCTATATTATTTAATATGTCTATTTAGTATGCACTTAATTTAATATACATAATTATTAATAGAATTATTCAATATATTTAATTTAAAGTTTAAAGTCCTGTCGCAAACCAACAAATCTCCAAATGAAAACTTACCTGCTTCGCAACTCTAAAATTATATCCGTCCTAATAGTTTTTTAATCATGTACACCTATATTATTTAATATTTATTTAATATATATCTAATTTAATATACACAATTATTAATTATTTAATATGTATCTAATTTAATATACACAATTATTTAATACACTTAATTTAAAAAAGCTTCAAAGTCCCAAAACAAATCTCCAAATGAAAACCTACCTGCGTCGCAACTTTAAAATTATATATCCGTTCTAATAGTCATTCAATCATGTACACCTATATTATTTAATATATCTATTTGATATATACCTGATTCAATATACACAATTATTAATCATCTAACATACTTAATTTTAAAAAAAAACATCGGAGTCTCGAACAAATCTCCAAATAAGAACCTCCCTGGCTCGCAGCTCCGAAATTATATCCACTCTCCAACCAAGTCTCCAATCTCCTCGGGTTTCATTAATCACACACCGGACCTAAATCCCCTCGAGAAAAAGCCGTCGCCTAAAATTCCAGCAGAAGAAACAACAAATCGATCAAGGACGCTGGAATCGATAGGAACGACAGTTTATCGGTCAGTTGCACGGAGGGGCGCTTATCTTTCAGGAGTTATTGATTCCGGTTCGGCTATCTTGAGGGAGGATCGCCGTCGAAACGGCGCGGGGGAGAGAGCGCGCGGTATATTTCGTGGGGTGATATTCAGCTGGGTGAGTGGAGGAGTGCAAGCGCCTCTGTCGACCATCCTGGAAGCCGAGTATCCACGTTGCAATGTTTTGCTGGCGCGCGTCGCAGCGCGTCCGGCCAGTAAAAACCGAGTCGTGAAATTGGAAGCGGGCCAAGCGATTGCGGAATCGGCCAGCTCTCTTTAACCTTTGCCCTATTGCATCGGGGAAGGGAGGGTGTTGTCGAGTCTGCGTCCCTGTCACCCGTTCCTCTCTCCTCTTTGTTACTCGATTCTTCCACCTTTCGCGCCTGCTTCTTTTTTTTTGCTTTTTTTGGAAACCCTCTTTTTCGTAACGAGTTGAGAGTCGCAAGTGGGATCAATATGATTCTTGCGAGTGTCACGGTACGGTACGTTTAATTTTCAATGGAATTGTCGATTGGAGTTATCTTGTACTCCCGTTCGATGAGGGTATCTTGCTTGAAGCGTCGTGCAGTTTGACT